GGACTTTTGCCCAAAGAGATCTTGTGCTAAAGAAAGCAGATTCAACGGTTCACATACATTTGATCAGCAAGTTAGACCAAATGTGGATCGGCGTTCGAAAATAAAAATCAACTCTCGCTCAAGCATCAAAAAACTGTCTATAAACTCAGACCAGTTGATGCTCTGAAGGCGGTTCTCTGCTTAGCAACGATAAGTTCAGTGAAGTGTACTGTGATAATCACCCCAGAGGAAGACCATAGAGATTAGTACGTTTGAGGCAAAAACACTACCGTCCAAACGAGATGGGGTTAGAATAAGACTTGGTTTAAAATAAGTTGAAACCGATTCAAAAGACTTTTCCAAAGAATGAGTAATCAACTGACACACATGCATCACATGAAGTAAAAAGTAAACTGCAAAAAAGATGAAAGCGAAAGAATGGTAAAAAATTGATCGGAAGCCGCATTTCATTTCATTCAACAAGCTAGTTACAACATTTTTTTCCTTTTATAAAATTATACATTCTTTTCCATTGGGTGCAAAAAACAAAAGAACAAAAAAAACCTTCTTATTACAAGAAACAACAATGGTCCAATCATGAGTTGGATGGGCCGTCATCCACCACTCCACCTTGTCTAGACTTACCACTTCTACCCCAGGATGCAGAGGTAGCGGAGAAAAGCTGGGTGAACTCATCTAAATCAGCGTATTTCAGGTCAACCACTCTGTCCCACACAAACTCGTCAATAATTAGTTTCGCGCCGAGCCAGACGTGATTGTCCCTGTTTGTCAATGTTTTCATTAGCCATCTTCATAATTGCAACAATCTTCTCCAACAGAAGTTTGTTTTCCTTTTGAGCCATTGAGAACAAGCTAGTTACAACCTTTTGTTCCTCCTTAGCATTATTTGCCAGAGCCTCTGCCACATTCGACCATTCCTCAGTAGTAGCTGCCTGAGCCTCTGACACATAGGGTTCGAGTCTCTCAAATGCTTTCAGTCGGGCTCTGAGAATCTTATCCTTCTTTTTCACTTTTTGTTCGACCCTCTTGGCATCCAGATAGCTGGTGGTGAAGTGATATGCAGAGGTGAGGCCTAACTGATAACAGTTGATAGAATTACAAAGGCCAATAGGGTTCGAGTCTCTCAACATCACTTCAAAACTCTCAGATGAGAGACCATTCGCGATGGTCGAAGTATACTTGTCAGCGCCTGGGCCGATCGGGTTCTCCCTCTGCATATCAATGAGGGCTAAGTGGGAGTCCTTAATGACAAACTCCTTCGATCGATCTTTCTACTTCAGACGCTAGCGGCCTGAAGCGTCTCTCTGTCTCTTCCTCAGAAGCGGTAGAAGATTAACACCTAACACATCGTTTGGGGCATCTATTTGGAGTCCTTAATGGGCTCTCTTTTGGTTGCTGGATCTTGACCTGACGGATCATCTGAATGCCTCTTACCATCGTCCCTCAAGTAATTGGGTGTCTGGTCGCCCTCATCCTTGCGAGCCTTCAAATGACCTGGTTTCATGAATTCGTGTTTTCGTTCAATCATAATGTGTTCTCTAGTGGAAACTGTTGACTACAGTAGTTTCAAAAATGGAATGAATATAATCCAACCTTGGAAGATTTGCATCTGAACGGGCAGTTGCCTCCGTTTCCTCCCTTTTACTACAAACTTTGGTTGGATCTATTTTTTGCGTGTCTTCTTCTGTGTAAGCTCGGAGAGCCTGTCCAGCTGCTTCTTTTCCTCCTTCGCATCCGAGGCATCCCAGAGCTCTGTTGTCATTTGCTCAGTACTTGTCCTGGTTGAGAACCTTGTTCACAATCACCCCCTTAGTGTACTGCTCCACGGATAGTTATTTCCCCTCGATCGCCGAAGCCAAGGATCGGATCTGGGGATGCACTAATTTTGATTTCTTTTAGACTCCGCCAGTCGGCCGGACCTGGGCCGACCAAACAACAATCAGATACTTCTAGTTCTTTCTTTGGTTCTTCAGGCCAGTCAGATGGAACTTTTGGGTCAAACTGAATGCCACGTAGCCGTCTGTCTTAACTGGAAGGAGAACATGTAGGAGAACAGCTTCTAGGACCACAAAATCTCCATCCGCCGACATTAAATCGCATACGACGATCGAGTTTGGTTTGATTTGGGCGGGGATCACACCGTTATGATTTGGGATAAGATTGAAGCTCTTTGTAAAGCGACAGTTGGAGACCCCCACTGAAACTAGTTCCAATAGAAGACCAGCCCTTTCTCAAATTCGTCGGTCGCCTGACTGTCCGGACCAATGGTATGCAGATGAATCTTGACATCAAAAACACAACCCGCCTTAAAAGAGGCAGCGTCGACCACAAAAAATAGATCGGTCAACTGCACAAAGATTCTTAAACTGCTTTTGTTTGCCATGGAAACAAAGGCTGAAAGATCAAGAGAAGTAATTGACCCAAATCAAGCGGAAAAGGAAACTAATGTATTGAAAATTCTAACGGTTAACCCTTATATATAGGGAAGCCACTAGAAGTTCAAATGTCGTGACTAGGCCACACGTCAACTTTAGGAGACCAAATCGCATCAACACAAAAATTTAGAAAGAATGAAGGCGTAAATTAATTTTTTGTGAAAATTAATAAAAAATTCTTTTTTATTCGGTTAGAAAATATTTAATAAGTGGGTCATTGGCTGCCTTTGCTGAGATATACCCCCGCCAAAATTATTTCTCAAACGACACATACCCTCCAAATCTAAACCTATCTACACTGTCGACTTGGGCTTGGACCTGCAAGATCAAACGTCGGCCAGCTCCACCCGAAGATTTGCTAGCTCCGTCAAATGCTTTAACGTCAGGGCTGCTAGCTCCTCCTGGAGCGTCTCCATCCCTACATATGGCTGCGGTCTGTTGGCTCTTGTTTTGAGGCTCTCTTGAGGGTTGAGATATCGATCGCCTCTTTCCTGTTCGGTGCTGCGGCCAAGGTCTCCTCAACTGCAGAAGCGCGAACTCAGGTGACATGCGGTAGTGGTGAGTCAACACTCAGAACTGCGTTGCCTGGATCAAAGAACAAGAATTGGTAAAAAAGAAAAACTTATAATCACAACAAGTATTCACATACCTAGGGATCAATGTAACTCGGGCCACCAGAACGAGGGACAACTCTCACCAGGCATTAGTTGGACTTTTGCAACCACTCGATCAAGGTCTGGTTCCATAATTGCAGGTCCCTGATCTTGCGGACCGCACTTCTTTTTATCTCTAAGGCCTAGTTCTAGAATTGCATAGCTCTGGTTAGAGGGAAATGAGGCGTCGACCGTTCCTTAGGGAGGTTGGACAGTCCACTAAGTGCTAATTGAAGTAGGCGCAGGAGTCAGCGCACTAGTAGGTTTGCTTCCTTCCTTTTGCTGAAGAAGGGTCAACAAGTTAGAGAATGAAACCTCGTCTCCAGGGTTTTCCACCCCTTCTTCTTGGAAGCGAGTTGCTGAACTCGCCTCCCATCTTCAACTCGAACTCCTTTCGTCTGCCTCTTTGTTATCCATGGTTTCTTTACGCCCTTGGGCTGGCTTCCTTTGCCCGACTTCTTTGTTCCGGTTTTCTCATCCTTAGGACAGCTGCCTCCCTTTGGTTCGCTTTTTTCCTTTCAAGCTCCTCCTCTCGGTGGGCATGTGACGCAAAGTCACCAAAGGCTTTCTCAAGTATTTCTTCCTTAATATGTACTTCCATGGTCTTCTTGCCACTTGTCATGGAAATCCTCATGAAACCCGCCAACAGAACAATGTGCTCTCAAATAGTGAGGATAACAAAAGTGCCAACTGCGCCATATTATAGAGGGTCACAGATATGAAAATCCATTGAGTTCAATAATTAATGTACTGAATTGGAAAATAAACGAATCTGTTTTTTGCATGAAATTCTCTTGTTCTTATCGCAGTACGACTTTCAAGATGCAAGAGAATCAGTGAATTAAATATATATGTCAAAATTACGCCAGTATTAATCTTGAGGGAATTTAACGGACTAGAAGACAAGTACGCTGATAGATGGCCCATCAGAAAGAGTTGGAGCCACGTCAGCAGAAGACCCAAGTATCCGATTGACTAGCTACAACTCCCTCAGATTTGGAGTCGGGACAGACTGAACGAAGGTCGTCCAAATCAAAGATCGAGACGTATCGAACCGAAAAAAAGAAACTCATCCAACTGTCGTCTAGCATCGCCCAATGCCTCGTAGGAGTCACCAAGACCCTTCTGGTAGTTCAAGGTTCTCATCACCGAACATCCATTGAACTCTTTAAATGATTCTCTTGCCAAAGGGGAAGACTACCTGTTAGATTACGGTGATTCACCCTGTGCCTAACATCCTAGTTCATTCTTGTAGCTTGTTTCCAATCCAAGGCTTACCAGTCAATGGTCGGTCCAAGACAACTGATCGACTCAATTTGACCGAATGATGTCCGAATGACCAAAGGACCGTCAGGACGCCCCAACTCACTAGAGTCGGCCTAATGTACTTGGTTGACCCTGGGATTACTGGTCCTCACTGATCGAACAATAGGGTAGTCGAGGCATAAACTTTTATTTTATATATACCCGAAATATCATGTATCGCCCCCTTAAAAGTAGTGACAACCATGCAATTTTTCACTTTATAAGTCTTTGCCTATAGATAAGGAGGTCATTTCTATAGTAAAGGGTTGATAATTCACTTTTAAAGATCACAATTAAAGAGCCAAATTCTTACTGTGCTCTCTCTCTCTATCTCTCTCTCTCTCTCTCTCTTCGTGCTCTCTCTCTCTATCTCTCTCTCTCTCTCTCTTTCATACACACACATTTTCTATTCCCTAGGTGTGATTCACAGAGATTGATCCGCATTCAACATACTAACTCTTAAAAAGTTAAATAGACCTTTTCATGCATAGGTAAGCGGTATAAATCTAAAAATTAAAATTTAAGTGTTAGATATGTAAATAGAGAAGAATTGTGTGACACGTATGTGAATCTTCCTACTTTTTAACTTCAAGCCGACCTTATTCAGGCTGTCAAGCTTTGGTGGAAGAATGTCCCATTTATTGGTCATCCAAAGTACTCAAGTCCATCCTACAGAGATGTTGCTTTGTCGAGGGACAATGAATTGTGCCCTTTGCGCATAAACGGAGCAGGTAGCGGTCACCTCAATCAAAATAGCAATTGTGAAAGCAGAAGCAGGTGGTGTGTTTGGAGAGACGCTGAATGGCCATGGGCGTGATTATTGTGAAATTTTAATAACGCAACTGCCAGTCAATTTATGAAGCAATATTGTTTCAGAATTTTTCTCTTTATCTGATTTAACTCATCCAAATTAAATAAATGTACAAATATGTGGAGTTGATGCAGGATGTATATCTATTTTGAAGCCTGTGTAGCCAAGCAGGTGTGTTGCTCTTTACTATTAATTGCTATAGTTGTCTTTTTGCATTATAATATTTTAACCTATTAAAGAAATATTGTAATGTTTGCCCTTTTGCCTAACATTAATCGAGGGCTGAATTTTTAAATTTGGAAGCAGAACCATGTAAGCTAATTTGATCTAAATGCCATTTAATATTCTCATTTCACATTACTAGATGTATTGAATGGCATATTGTCCATAGGTTCCATTAAAATATTTTTCTGATTGAGAGAAAAAAAGTAGTAAGAGATAGAAAGGGTTTAGAATAGGAACCTTTGGGATTTCTCTTATGTTTTGAGTATAGCAAATTGCCTCGAATCGTGAATTCGAGGACTTTTTATTGCAATCCATTTTTATAAGTTTATATCGGGTTCGAGTTCTGTAGAAAACTTCATATATTGAGTTACATGAATAAGAAACATGTAGCATTGCCTATTTGTTGCTCATTATAAAATTTACAAGGCATTCTTACCTGTAGGGCTGTCAAAACAACTCGTTGTTCGTGAACAGCTCATGTTCGGCTCGTTAAGAAGCTCGTGTTCGGCTCGTTAATTTCGTTCGA